TTTATCACCATTTTTGTTTACTTTAAAAGAAGCTAGTGTGTTTTTAGCAAATGTGTCATTATGTCAGTACTTAAGTGAAAAAATGTACTGTAGAAAAATTCGACTGCATAGAATCACAATTGAAATCAACTGTGTAGAACTGTAATAATTTTTCATACTTGGTCACTGTAATTAATATTGAGAATGATAAGTATGCATGGGAGAGAATGGATTAGTCTGGCTTTATTGATTGAAAGCATATGGCTCCTGATAAGCTTTTTATTCTCTGTAAAGATTCTTTTTGCAGTATCACAAACACGTTTTCTCATTAGTATATTGAACCAGTTTCACCTCTTATACATGTTACCAATGACAAGTATTACTTAACAGAAAACTTAGTCCTCCCGAATACCTATCAACAATAATATCAAAATTCTTGGATTGTGATTTTCAGTATTGTAAGGGAATTTCTTAATTTTGTTTTTAAAGGGAAAAAAATAACTCATAATAATTTAGCTCAATATTGTGCTGCTTTTGAGGTTTTTCATAAACGAAAGTTTAATGCAGGGGTTAAACATTACTGTTGACCCAAAATTATAGAATATTTTCCTACAAACCAACTCTAGAAAATATCTAGCAAAAGATATAAAGTATGTTGGCTTTATTTAAACTTTTGGTGCATGGAAAAAAGATGAGTGGTACATGGTGGAGGGATGGTTATTGGAACAAACAGAGGAAGTAATAAATCTTCAAATCATATACAGGACAGATTGGAACAGTATAAGCTCTCCAAGTTTTCTTAAATAATGTACCTAATAACTCTCTCTGGGCAAGTAGGAAATCTGTTTTCAATTTCTTCTACTTCTAAGCAAAAGTATAATTTGTGTTAAATGGAGAATATTTATTTTTTTTTTGGTGGGAGTTTTCAACCCAAAATTAATGTAAGTATCTGATCAGAAAGCGTTGTTTGAAAACCAGGTGGTTTTATTGCAGTCAGTGCTCAGGATGCTTTTGTACTTTATAAGAACAGCAAAGAGAAGAATAGAATATGTACAGTCCCAAAACAGAACACTAAAATGAAACCATGGTTCAGATGCCTTCTGACACTTCCAAAAGAGTAAGTTCTGGTGCTGAAATGCCAAGAGTATTTAGAATCATAGAGTAGTTAGGGTTGGAGAGGACCTTAAGATCATCTAGTTCCAACCCCCCTGCCATGGGCTGGGACACCTCACACTAAACCATCTCATCCAAGGCTTCATCCAACCTGGCCTTGAACACTGCCAGGGATGGAGCATTTACAACTTCCCTGGGCAACCCATTCCAGTGCCTCACCACCCTAACAGGAAAGAATTTCCTCCTTATATCCAGTCTAAACTTCCCCTGTTTAAGTTTTAACCCTTTGCCCATTGTCCTGTCACTACAGTCCCTAATGAAGAGTCCCTCCCCAGCATCCCTATAGGCCCCCTTCAGGTACTGGAAGGCTGCTGTGAGATCTCCATGCAGACATCTCTTCTCCAGGCTGAGCAGCCCCAACTTTCTCAGCCTATCTTCATATATGAGACATATGCTCCAGTCCCCTGATCATCCTCGTGGCCCTCCTCTGGACTTGTTCCAACAGTTCCATGTCCTTTTTATGTTGAAGACAGCAGAACTGCACACAATACTCCAAGTGAGGTCTCACGAGAGCAGAGTAGAGGGGCAGGATCACCTCCTTCAACCTGCTGGTCACGCTCCTTTTGATGCAGCCCAGAATACCGTTGGCTTTCTGGGCTGCAAGTGCACACATTCCTTCCCTCCAGCGTATCAACCGAACCACACAGCTTGGTGTCATCAGCAAACTTGCCGAGGGTGCACTCAATCCCACTGTCCATGTCAGCGATGAAGATGTTAAGACCGGTAGCAACACTGATCCCTGAGGACACCACTTGTTACTGGTCTCCTGCCGGACATTGAGCCATTGACCACAACTCTCTGCGTGCAGCCATCCAACCAGTTCTTTATCCACCAAGTGGTCCATCCATTCATCAAATTGATGTCTCTCCAATTTAGAGACAAGGATGTCATGTGGGACAGTTTCGAATGCTTTGCAGAAGTATTTGACAGCCAAGTGTTATATTTTCACTAGAGCAGATTGCTGTGAAACCCTACTGAATAAGAATCATAACAGGATTGAATAGTTGTATCAAATGTACCTGATTTTAGTGGGGGCTTTTGGAATAAATAACTTCTGGAGGTTTTTTCCAACAAGAATTATCTTATGATCCTGTGAGAATTTCTTCTGCAATAGGGTAATTTGGGTTGCACGCTCTGTCTGGCTTGTAGTTTTCCTCTTCAGCTTACCCATATTTTTAAAATGTGAACTCCGATTCATGACAGAAAAGAACCCATGTGAAATGAAGTATCCCTGGAAAGTACATTTTCTGCACAAAGTATGAAGTGCAGTACAAGTGCATTCAGGAAGAGACCCCACTAAAGCTAACAGCACAGGTTCTGTACAAAAGAATTGCCTGCAAGAACAAATTATTTGTTATTAAAAATAATGCATCAACTACGCAAATCAAAAGTTTGATTTGTTAGATGGAAACATTTTAAAATAATACCCGTAGTTTAAAATCAGTCATTTTAGAAAACATGTTTGTAGTCCCAGGACTCTATCCTCTGTACACTTACTGCGCCAAAAGCTTTGGTTAAAATTGAGAAAAATCCTACTGAAGGCAAAGCAGACTCTCTGGCTAGCCAGTTTAGCAATAAAAGTTCATAGTATTAAGTCCCATGTTAAATACAAACCAGCATGATCAGAGTCTCATATAACCTTGCCTGTTAAAAAGAATGAAACCATTAAAGTTCTTGACTGCTGCTATATCTGAAATTTCATTTAAGTCCTGGTGATGTGGCTAAGAACTCATGCAAAAGGAGTGTTTGAGTTTATCATATTACTAAATAAAGTTTTAAAACCCTGGGTTACAGTATTTATAAAAGTGATAATAATAGACTAATTTCATAACATGTGCTGGACTGGTATAATAGTTTATAGTGTTTTCCTTTTCTAGTCATAATCTGAACCACTGCAAAAGTAACAGTTTGCAATGGTGATATTTTACACTGCATGATGCATATTACTGATTTATTCTTTATTCTACATAATTATCCCTTCTCCAATGAATTCTATGCACTTTTCACACACATTTCATTAAGGATCAAATTATCAAGCAAGAACAGTCCCCTATTATAGCCCATTACATAAGTAATTATTGCTGCCACATATTATTTGTTGTTTTCACCCAATGAGTTTTCTGTGTTACCAAGCTTTCTACAGAAAAATTATGAAGTAAGTGAGACATCAATGCTCTGCTTTTGCCCTTGGAATTACTTTCTTTTGCACTTGGCTGTTCAAGTTTAAAACAATTTTGTGAAATTCTGAAATTGTGTGTTTGTAGCATTTTTGTACTTTAAATGACTGTATATGAAGTAATTTGTATGACTAATTAAGTTGACTTTTTATTAGTTCTTAGGAATTATATCTATACCACTTTGTCTCTTTTCCTAGCTTCTGTGAGCAAAGTGGTGATTGGAACTGTTAGCAACAGGCATATCAAAATCACCATCCTTCTTAAACACATGACATTAATGGAAGCTGGGGTTGAATTTATTCTGTGAAGGAAATTGTGAGACAGTGTAAGATACTCTAATTGCAGGTTTTTTGGCTTTGCTTTACAATAATAAAGGTGCAAGGATCCCTTAAGTCAAGAAGAGTGTAATTTTGTAGGCCTTATCTTCGGCCTCTCCAAATCTAAGATCATAGAATCATAGAATAGTTAGGGTTGGAAAGGACCTTAAGATCATCTAGTTCCAACCCCCCTGCCATGGGCAGGGACACCTCACACTAAACCATCTCACCCAAGGCTTCATCCAACCTGGCCTTGAACACTGCCAGGGATGGAGTATTCACAGCTTCCCTGGGCAACCCATTCCAGTGCCTCACCACCCTAACAGGAAAGGATTTCCTCCTTATATCCAATCTAAACTTCTCCTGTTTAAGTTTTAACCCATTACCCCTTGTCCTATCACTACAGTCCCTAATGAAGAGTCCCTCCCCAGCATCTTTATGGGGCCCCTTCAGATAGTGGAAAGCTGCTGTGAGATCTCCATGCAGCCTTCTCTTCTCCAGGCTGAGCAGCCCCAACTTTCTCAGCCTATCTTCATATGGGAGGTGCTTCAGTCCCCCGATAATCCTTGTGGCCCTCCTCTGGACTTGCTCCAACAGTTCCATGTCCTTTTATGTTGATGTAGAATTCAAGAATGTGTATGTAGTTATATATAGTGCTTCTACCTTGTAGGGTCAGATACACCTAGTAGTAGAACAGTGGAGCAGTAGAAACCTTTGTGATATCTCAATCTCTCAAAACTTTGATTTTCTAAGCAATTTGTTGTAGTGATACAATAAATATTTTTTTCTTATAGTGAAGTACTCTCCTTGTATAAGTTATGGTAGGAAAAATATTTCTTTTTTGTTGCTTATGGCCTATAATTGGCAAGCCTTGTACTGCCTTCCTTGGCATATATGTCTGCTTTCAACCATGGCAAAATATCAAATCATTTTAGGGAGATTTGATCTCTCATATGTCATAAACCAAAAATTTAAACAGTAAAATTCATTAGGGGAGGTGAAGATGTGGGGAAAGATGTGTAAAATAGAAGAATATGATTTTGAAAGAGACTGTTTAATACAATGTGTAAACATATATATAAATGATGCCACTTATTGTTAAATGTATAATACAACTTGGGCAAATGGTTTAATAGTAGTCTTTGCAGGTGAGAGTGTATGTGTATTTGCAATGGCAAAATGATTTTTTTTGGAACTGATGTTTTCCTCCTCTGAATTATGGAATAGGATCTAGAGAAACATCAAGAAGAGACTAATACTCTGGTTTGGCACATAAATTATAATTGCCTTCTCTGCTTTCTTGCTTGCTTGTTTTACCTTCTTTGCAAGATTAACTCTGATTTTTCTGCAACAGGCACATAGTTGTCTGTGGTCACATAACACTTGAAAGCGTGTCCAACTTCCTGAAGGACTTCCTGCACAAGGATAGGGATGATGTCAACGTAGAAATCGTCTTTCTGCATAAGTAAGTAAACTTTACAGATTAGTCTTATCATCCGTTTCTAAAACTCAGTAAATTAAACCAAATCGTTTTTTTCTTTTTTTTGAAGAGAGAGGCTCTTTCAAGCTCTAACTTACCGTAAACTTAATGCTTGCAGTTACTTTTGTTATTAATGTATTTTGACAAAAAGTGTTGTTTTCTGCCTTTTTTTTTTTTTTTTAATAACCCATTGCTAAATAGAGGTGTTTCAAGCAGACTTCAGACTCAGTCATGTCAACTGTGAGGTAGATATCTAAACATGTACTTGAAGTGGGAATGGTATTATGAAATAAAAAATGGGGAAATACTAATAAATATATGTGGGAATTTCTTTAGTGGGAAATATTTCTAGTGAAACTACCAAAATCGTTAAAATCTGTAAGATTAGTGAAAAATACTCTATGTCCTGTGAACTTACGCTATCTGGAAACATGTTCTCACCTTTGATTTCCCTAGGAAAAAAATGCTCATTTCATATAGCAGAATATTTATGAAATGAAAAATGTAGGTGCATGTTTAGCTTTAATGTAAATAACGTTACAGATACAGTGATGGTCAGAATTGTTTTCATGCTGATAATTGGTATTGCTCTTTTACCCTTATATGCATAGCTATACACACATGGTCTTTTGCATTTTTCTGATGTGCAATTTTGAAAGGTTTTGTAAGGTGATTGCTGGTTTTTGTATGCTCTGCATTACATGAAATACAACATCAAATAGGTGTGCCTCTGGGAGAAGCTTCTAGAAATAGCCATGTGTTAGAGAGACGGTATGAAAGGTCTTTTCTACTCTGGAATAGCATCTGGTTGGAAGTGTTGAAAGCTATAAACGAGTAATATTTTTCCATTAGGCAGCAAGTTCTCCACTTCTTGTCAAAGAAAATTATTAAAAAGTTCAAGAATCATTTTTGGGTAATTCAACAAAGGAAGCTGAAAAACTAAGAATCAGCAGCACTTGCACAATTTTTTTATCTAGTTCTTTCAAGTTGAGCTAGGGATATCCTCAAGGAACAACATTTTTTGCTTCTTTCCCCTCTCGAAGCAGTAACAAGAACTGAGAGGAAAGCAGAGATCCAGATTTATGCAGTGAAAATGCATGGCAGTAGGAATCAGGAAACTGCATATTAACATGAAGACAGTTTAGCACCTGGCAGCTTGCTTGTGCCTGCTTTCTCTGTGCCTTCACAGACAAATATTTGCTTTATTTATTTGTTTTATTTTCTTACTAAATTTAGAATCTGGCATGACAAAGATCTCATGCATTTATTAAGTATCTAACAAATTCCTTCCGATTTAATGTGTGGCATAAGAAGGGGTATTTACATGATTGGTGCCACACTGGGTAATAGATCATGATCTGTTAAAATCTTTTTGTTCATGGCAAAATGCAATAAGACAGAAAGTCATAGCATAATTATATTTGTTTTGTTTGTAGCTCATGTAGCCCACAGAATCCCTATACTGTTCATTTTCCAGCTTTCAGGGATTTTGCACTGGACTCTCGTTTGATGTAATTAGCTGTTTTGAGAATGATGGGGACATGAAGAGGATGAGTGTCTTATTAGAGAATTTCTGTGGAGAGTGAGTGGTGTGTGGGGATGTTTTCCGATGTTTGCACCAGTTCTTCTGAATCCATGTCTGTGAGAAACTGACACATGATGAACATGCAGAGTAGCACAATGACGTGGGCCAGAAGCTCTGCAGACAGAAGTAAGGAAATAAAAGCAGTTATAGTGTGTCTTTTGAGTATTGCACGCTGTTTCACAGCACAGGAGAAGCATCAGCAGAAGTCTGAATACCTAAAATAAATTAAGAGGTTGATTTATAAATTAAGGAAATTTATATAAGGAAATATGGAAACTGACTTCTCACTTGCTCTTTTGTTTTTTTCATCTTCCCAATGCAGTATCTCCCCTAACCTTGAGCTGGAAGCTCTTTTTAAACGACACTTCACTCAGGTGGAATTTTATCAGGGTTCAGTCCTTAATCCCCATGACCTGGCAAGAGTGAAGGTAACAGCTCTGTTGTTCTGTTCTCCTGCTAATTGACTTTTTAAGAAGTACTCACTGCATTATTTGGAAAAAAACTCCGTTAAACTTCCTCTTAATGTAACACCAGAAGACTCTTTTTCCATTTCTATTAGCTTACTTAATAAATTATAACATGTATCCTTATAAATTTTGTTTTCCCTATATCCTAAGCTCTTCAAAGCTACAGTATCACTGTACATTGTCTGCCGCTTCATTGAATTCTTTCTGAATTTTTAATTGGGTTTAGTTCAAGAGTCTATTACATTAATATTTGATATAATAGAGCTTAAATTTTTTTGTCTTACCTTCATCAGAATGATTAGAAAATAAATAGAAAACCCCTTTTGTATTGTCTAGAATCCTGGGAGGAAAAAAAACCCAAACAAAACCAACAAACAAACAAAAAAAAAAACAACCCCAAAACCCAACCAAACTAAAGCAAAGCAAAAAAAAAAAAAAAACCAAAAAATCCCTAAACCCCCAACAAAAACAATTTAAAATTTTTGGTAGCTAAATGAGATAGTTTTATTCTCTGTAATTCTTTATGGTAAATTATTGTGTACTCTTAAAGAAAAGCATGAAACTTAAAAAAAAAAAGAAAAAGTAAGCTCTCAGATGCAGCATTAAATTTTAAGGGTTCCTCCCTGCCACAACCCCCCCCCCCCAATCCCCACAGAATGTAAACTGGTTACTTAAGCCAAGCATATTTTAGTTCAGTGTTAACACTTTCTGAAGTACAAATCATGTCTTTTTTCTGTTTTGGCTGCAGAAATTGCTTAACCTTTTGTAATCCAACACACACTGTTTCATTTCATCAGAACAAAATGTTTGAATTATAGCAATAAATGTCATAGTTAGTGTTTTACCATAATTACCAATGTGTGTGTTGGTATTTTGTGTTCTGTATTCCACCCTTTTTTGTGTTGGTATTTAGTTGTATACACTGAAAAATACTTTTGTCATCTGCTTTGTGTTAAATAGAGCTAAGGTTTGTGAGGATATAGAGGTCCTGTGAACAGATCGGTTCTCTTCCTCACGCTTTCTAAAACTGGTGCTCAGATTCTAAATCATCAGTTCAGCCACCTCTTCCTGTCTTCAATGGGAAGATACTGAAATTCCCAAAGCTGCAGGACTTGTGGGAGCACTGTACTGATGTAACAGGAACTTCCTATGGATTTAGGGGTCTAAATTTCAGTGTCTGGTAACAAAAGATATGTCTGTTAATAATTGAACTGTTGACCTGGTCTGAACATCATAAACAAGTTTCAAGAAATTACGATGTGTATATGAGAGCTGTTATAATCACTCACATTAACTCACATTGTAACCTTTTTAATCAGCAGTATTAAGAACTAACATTCACAATTGTGATGGCGGTGTTGAATTCCCTAGTTCTTTATGATGAAGGAAGAGCTAGAAAGAGATGTTGCTATTTATATGTGCCTTTTCTTTGGTGTCTCAGATAGAGTCAGCAGATGCGTGCCTAATCCTTGCCAATAAATACTGCGCTGACCCAGATGCTGAAGATGCCTCCAATATTATGAGGTAAACTCATTAGTTTTTAATCGGTTTTTGGTTCTTAACTCTGATGAGCTGACTTGGTACTGTTAGTCATTTTGCAGGATCTAGGGTTTGAGTATTCATAGCTGAATGCAGTCCCAATAGAAATGAGGGAAACGGGAATGTGTTTATGTTCTTGCACAAATATGCCATGTGCTGCATGGGCTGCTGTTAATAATGGGACAGAATGAATCAAGTGATACCTCATTGCTCCATGATATATCTGCTCTTACAAGTAATTGTGCAGCTTGGGGAACAGGTGTACGCTTCATGGTGGCAAATATACAGTGGTATCCTAGCTTCAGCCTGCTTTTTTACACTGAGGATCAAGTATTCTTATTTTGATTGACAAGCCACTTACAGATTTGGAGCCACCAGATCCTGTCCTGCTTTCCTCCTTATATTCTTTGAAGGAAGGAAATAAAAGAGTCTGTCAATAGACAGCAGTTAGTTACAGCATACGTAAGCCATTCCATTTCTTGTGTTAAACCCTTAGCTTTAATGGTACTGGTTTCTCCTTTTTAGAATTAAAATGTCAATTAACTGTTAAAAAATCTCTAATATAGAAGTGGCCAGTGTTATAAACCAATTTACTGGCCTGTTAGAAGTTGGCATGCTGTGAATTGAAAGAAGGGGAGAAATAAGAAAAATAAAAATAAAATTGCTCCTCTGGTAAAAGTTCACAGTGCACAGGAGATGTGGCTGTCTGTGGAAGATATAGGCCTTAAATATGCCTAATTTAATTTTCCAAATATGACGTTGAATTGCAATGCAAGAAACTTTATTGTGACATTAATTGTATAAATGCATTAAAAATACTCTAGTTTCAGATTAATGCATTCTTAATAGATATAATATATTTAATGTCATAAAATGCAAAAGTGTAATTTTGAGAGTGGAATTCTCTTGTGTTTTCTCACATTTAAATTAATTTAATTAAAATTGAATGTTTAATTGACTAATTTAGCAAGAAATGAAAAATTAGAAGGAAGACTTTTTCTCTTCCAAAGGAAAATATCAATTAAAAACATGCATACAACTTTTCTCATCTGTTTTATGCTCTAGCTTTTATATACTTCGAAGCAGAAACCAGACGAGCAGTTTGCAAGATAATTCCTACAAAACACCAGTGTAAACAGTTATGGCATTCCACGTCTTATGAGACTGATGATTTCGTAATAATTAAGATTATTTTGTGTTTTGATTGGTTTTATCTTCTTTGTATATCTTTAGTTTCTGTATACAGAACTGATTTTGACCCGTTTCAGTTTTTCATTTTTGTTAATTATTTTTTAATTTAAAAAATGCATATTCCTTTCTTCATAACACATTATCAATTCGCTAGGTCCTCATTTTTCTTTACAGCTGCTTTTAATAGGTACACAGTTGAGTATATCTTAGTTTCATTAAATAATGACGAATGCAAGCAGTCAAGCTGTAGATTATGAAAGTAGCCCCATATTCTATAAATTCAGTGTTCAGATATCTGTTTCAATATTGAGCTTTGGAATAGCCCATAAAAATTCATATAATTTGCATGTGGATTTATGACAAACAAAATTATTATTTAAGTTCTTTGATGATGATGAATGTCTAGTAACTATAAATAAATGAATTGCTAAATCAAGTCTTGTATTCTGCAAATTCCATAACAGCAAACATTCAACTGAATAAATCCTGAAGTTTGATGTTCTGTAGCATTAGCCAATGGTTATTAACTGAATTTGTCTAGGAGTAAATATTGTGAAAGTCTCACTTAAATCAGTGTGCTTAACAGCCAGGTGAATAAGAGGGTACAGTTTTAATTGTGGGACTTAAAAATACAGTAAAATAGAGGTATTGGAATACACTATCCAAATATCTTACTAACTAAAGTTATTTTTGTTGTTTCTTTTTTTATTTTTAGAGTAATTTCAATAAAGAATTATCATCCGAAGATAAGAATTATCACTCAGATGTTGCAGTATCACAATAAGGTAAGCTTAAGACCAAGTGTCTGTCCCCAGAGTTTTTTGCTACATTGCATTCGCTTATACACAATTAAAAAAAAAAAAAAAAACCCACTGTAATAAGCCTTGTTATGTAATCCACTTACAAGTTAATTCACTTTTATTTATAAATGTAAGTACCTTTTAAAAATCCGGACATTAATTAACTGTCTAGGCTGTAATTCTCAAATCTACACTGTCCACCGTTGCTGCTGATTCCAGATGAATCTCAGCTTCTATAAGTTTTGCTCAGCTTATTACATTCGAGCTACCCAAGATGAATTGGTGGCATCTAGAGAAGTAATCTGAAGTAATTTTTTGTGGGTACTTAAAAAATCACAATAAAACTCCATTAAGATAATAACTGTTGGCAATTTTTAGCTTCTTGCAACATGACAATGTAGACCTGAAATTGCCATGTAGCAGGTACCAAATAAATACAATTACTTGGTTTTTCATATAAAATATAATTAAGTTGTGGAAGTTGTTGCTAAAAATATTATTGAGATCAGAATTATAAATCCAATTCAGAAAGGAATTTGGCAAAATTTTTTATGGTAAAGCTGTTGTCTTTAAACACAGTGAAGTCAATTCATGCAGTCCTGAAGTGAGAAAGTCCATAATTGCTGGTTAACAAGGCTAGGAGAAATAACTCAGAGGGCAGACTACTCATATGTGACCTGCTTCTTTAGTTATTTCAAAAAACATCAACCATTGCCCAGTGTTGGAGGAAAAGCTTGAATGGGTAGCCCTTCATTCAGTGAAAAACACGATGATCCTGGTTTGAATTAGAAGGTTTGAATGCTAACAATTCCTTATATCTGTAAACTTTGGCTAGAACAAGAGAAATCGGTGTTACTTGTGCTGTCCTCTTTCTGTACATGAATAGAGGGAGCCTGTCTTTTTATAGAATAAAAGCATGGTGTTTCTCTCCTTTAAACAGGTTCAGAAGGGAAGATCTTTCACTGCATTTTTTTCATTTGTATTTCCAGTGAAATCATCTTCAAGAATAGCTGTTATCAAAGTACTAAACTGTAATGTTCATTTATGAAGGGAACCAAGTATGAAGCCCTCTGTGTTTCCTTATGTCTATAAAATTGTACAAGGAAGATGGAAAAGAGAATCTGATAGAGTTATGCCGGTAACCAGACAGTATTAGTAACTGTCTAACTGACCAGTGTCAATACTGGTGGTGTATCTTGATCAGCTGTTTTCTTTATTCTATCCTTGTTAAACAGCAGTCTCAGGAAAAGGTCTGGATTTTCATAAAGTCAAGTGCTGTCCTTCAGGGTGGCAGGAATGCAATAGAAAACACAGAGGATGATGTGTACCTTATTAAACAGCAATGTCCTATAACGGTTTTGAAGCTTCACATGAGTTGTAATCTAAGTTATATTAGATTCCTGTGTACTGTGTATGTGCCTTATCAGTCAGAGTAGCTCCAAGTACTGTAAAAGGAACATAGAAAAGGAAAAACAACTTCATAGCATTCTGTGGTTCGTTCAGGTGTGAGGGTGGGCCTGGCAGAGTTTCACAGCCAGAATATGTCTGTAGTAGGTAAGATTGGAACATGTTTTTGCATATAATTCTGCCTCATTACAAAAAGTCAAGACAATAACAAAGAAAATAATTCACTTCATATGTCCTTCAATACTGTGCTGTATTTGAGGAAGTATTTCTGGTTCTCCACCTATGGGGTATTTTGTTTGCTTGTTTTTCAGGCCCATCTGCTAAATATCCCAAGCTGGAACTGGAAAGAAGGGGATGATGCAATCTGTCTTGCTGAGCTTAAGCTTGGTTTCATAGCCCAGAGCTGCCTGGCACCAGGCCTTTCAACAATGCTAGCCAACCTCTTCTCCATGAGGTCATTCATAAAGGTAATGTCTTCTCTCATTAGAATGTATTCGTCTGCAATTCAGTTTGTCAGAGAGTCAAGTAAAGAATGTGAATCAAACATGGAACAGATAGGAACACATTAACAGAATTTGTAAGACAAAAAAAAAATCCAGTGCATGCTTCCATACAAAAGTTATTTCCTGCACATTGGGCACTATTCCAGGCTCTGTCAAGTTAATGTTTTCATTTTTATTCAGCAAGTGTTTGGCCTTTACACGACTTTTCAAAGCATCATCCATTTCTAGGTAGATATATCTGGTGTTTTGTGTTTTGCTTCATTTTAGACAAACCACGTGTTTATCTATGAGAAAAGCCCTGCTGCTAAAACAAAAATATGATTTATGTATGTCCCATATAGCAACAAAGTATGCAGAAAAATGGACTGATCATTTCGGTCTTTCATATCAGGTAGCTAGTGGACCTCTTGACTGTGAGAGTAAATAAGGAACATGCCTTGGAACTGAAGCCTGAACTTCCTACAACATCATTCCTGTATTTGTTTCTCTTTTTTGTGTATTTGTTTGGACTTACATGGCAAAATTTTAGTCCAGCTAAATCTAGACTTCTGTGGCAGCTGTACTAGTTCAATGGACTAAGGCTTTGACTGCAGCAGTCAGTACTTCCTTCTTCCTCAGGCCTTTCTGGGACACTGATTCCAAACATAAAGATGGTCAGTTTCCAATCCCATGAGTGTTAGTGGGATGGGAAACACTGGAATACAAGGTAGGCCATGGTCCACTTTAAGTCCATCGTGAAGGAAAATTTGACTTTTCTTGCATTAAGCAAAGAAAAAAAAAAAAGCCTAATGTCATCAGATGAGAAAGCCAAAACTGTTCTCATAGAAGTGCACATGTCATTGCAGGACACTGAGTCTTTATTTACTTCCTAGGAAGTCCTGGAATTCTTATTAAGTTATCCTTTGGAGACTGCAGACTCCTGTGTGTCAAAAATATTTCAGACTATTATAGTTAAAAAAAAAAAAGGTCAGTTTTCAATATGGAAACAAGCCTGGGCTCTGCACTTCCATTACTTCATTGTAACTATCTGCAATCACGATGCTTACATCTTCACATTCTAAAAAAAACAACCAACCAACACCCAAACCTAAAAAAAAAAACCCAAACCCCAAAACAACTGTTTTGCTCATTAAAGCCAACCTTGGGAGCTGTCAATGACTTATACAATCACTTTGATGTTAATCCTTTCTGCTTATACCCCAAAAGAAGACTATATGTCTTACAAACTTCATTCTTGCTCATCATTTTGGTCTTCCTCACTCTTGCTTAGTATAGTATCCCAAGACTGTCAAGAGTCTCAGACATTTGTAACAGTCACACTTATGTATCTGAAGTACTAAAGCAACCTATTCTGTGAACTTGCTCTTGACATCAGAAGTAGGCATGAAACTTTTGTTCAATTTCCATCTTTCCAAAATCAGAAGGGATCAGTTTTCTGTCAAGGACATCCAAATATATGGGTATCTTCATAAGCCCCAGTCATAATTCAAGTTCTTTAAACTTGCAGTGAGAAAATGAAGAGATTCAGAAAGTGATAAAGTGTACAAATGTCCAGCTATAGAGGAACTGTAGTAGAGCTGCACACATTTATGGCTAGATCTGCAGGTAAAATGTTTACACAGGTCAGAAACTGCAAATGTAAAGGTAGCATCTTTCTAGAAAATGTATCTAACCACTTATATCATTACCTTACCCACCTTCTCTCCTGTATTTTCTTATTGTATAAGATATTCTTATAATAATTTCAGGACAGTGACAGATTGTACTATCTCAGCAATGAACAGTTTTAAGATGAAAGCTCAGCTTTGCAGGGCACTACTCAAGATTACATCTGAGTCTTTCTATATGCACAGAGTAAGCATAAAAATAGCAATGAATTTGATTTGGAGGAAAGTATCAATATCAGTTTTGCTCTTGTATCTGTGATTATATATAGTTATAAACAGAACAGTGTGCAGATATACCTTGACTTGTGTTACATCAGATGTCATCTTCAGATGGCAGTGGGAGATGAAATACCATAAAATAGTGCATTGAAAGACTGCAAGACCCTATTACTGCAGGTTAAAAAGATGTCTTCCACTTAACTAAGAATGAATTGTCCAGGCAAGTAAAATGTGTATCGTAATTTCCAAAGATCTCTGTGTATATTTAAACTTAAAGCAAAACAAATGTATGAGAACTCAGATATATTTATTCATGAGACACCAACTCAATTGGCAACAACAAAAGGCTTGTTTCATTATTTAGCTGGAAGGATATTCTTCCTCCAAGCTGTCTCACTCTAAAAAATTGTATTTGAAAGAAAAGTATTACTGAGCAGTTGGTATGTATCGGCAACGTATTGCAGGAGGGCAACTACATTGATTGGAATTGTTAAAGAGGGTGCTATTGAAACGAAAGTTAACCATTCCCTAAAAGTAGTTCCAGCCCTGACCATTTATAGTACTGAATTTAAGTGCTGTCAGGCCTTTATAAGCACCTTGGGCAAACATTATTAGTGAAGTCTCCCATAAGTTAGGGGGTTGCCAGGAAAATGTACTGAAACTTCTTTATTTTTAAAGAAAGCTTGAAATGTGTGTTTGTTACTCCTCCTTCATAGTGTGATTAGAAAGTGATTTAACATGCCATAAATGTTTGGTCAGTCAAACACAAATGAACATGATTGATGATGACATTGCACACATTTAACTCATTATGTGTTACTTTATGGCAAAAATGATTTGTGTAAACAGTCTGCCCGGTATTAGGGGTAAAACAAACTAAGGAACCTCTAAATATTATATTTGTCCCTAATATTTTCCTTTTGGTTTTAGTGATGTAGTCTCATATGGAATCTTTTCTGTTCTCTTTGGCACCAAACTGAACAAAAAGGAAATCAGCTCAAAAAGGCTGAGGTTCTGTAAATACTTAGAGGAAGAAAGGTAGATTGTACAACAAACGATATGTTAAGGAAAAAAAAACTTTACACTTGTAAACTGTATTTCAATAGTTGAGTCTTTTTATAGCACAGTTATTTTATTAATAAAAGAATTGGAACTCATTATTTACATAGTCTTAGAAAAAGACAGAAATACAATACCGTACTGCAATTTCTGTATTGTTTGGATTAGCAGATGTATACCAGAAGTCTACCCATATGAAAAACATTGCAAAAAGTAAGTAAATGGAATAAAAGGCAGAGGTGGTCGAATTGTCCCTGTATACAAACGTGCAAGCCAATGTAAGTTAGCATTGTTGTGTAAATTAATAAAATGTGGAATGTGATCCTCAAGTGTAACACAAGTCCACAAATTAGTTTTCTCTTTGCTCTGTTGGTAAGACAGTACACCTCATTCTAGATCTGAAAATTAATCTAGAGCAGTCTCAATTCTCCTCTAAGCTAATTTGAGAGCATGTTCTGTGGGCTTTTTTGGCAGGTGTTGCTCACACCTGTACATATGCAATGCCTGCTTTTCCTACTACATTGCTTTCCAGTCCAGGCTGAGACATAATAAAGCCATATAGATTTACATTAGTCAGGTGCTTACCTACTTATAAAACATGCTCTTTTCACACCAATTTTAAAAAACATTCTTGCAGAGAGAACTGTGAGAATAGTTTGCAGAGCAAAAAATTTTATATAATATTTTGATTTAAGCAGACAATGGAACTGAGTGAAGAGGTAGTTGATAATTTGTAATACTTAAGAAAATTTAATTAAGAATGTAAATCTAAGAAGCCTCACTCTGCTAGGAATGTATGAACTGCTTTCAGCCAGTTATTTATCTGTCAGATTTGGTATCCATATCTAAATGCATAATAAAACCAGACGTTCACACAAGAAATTTGGGTGGACTGACAGGACATTATAGGTGAATATGAGGAAATGTTTAAAATACATTGCTTTCAATGTACAACTTCTCTTCAAACACCAGTGAAGAATGTTCTGCCTGTACTTTTTATTTGCATCTGTGTTTATAGAAATATACGCACAATGCTGTAGAGAATTGTAAGATTAAACATCAGGAACCCCTGGAACCATTCTTAGCCTAGAGGGAGGCAGGAGTCTCTGCATTAGATGGAAGTAGATGAAAACAGATTGGCAAGGGCTCAAGAAAATTCCTCCACTGAAGATGTTATTTTCTAGGTATTTTTTGTAAAATGTTTCTCTACAAGGCCTTATGGGAATCTTTAAAGAGTAAGTTTTATCTGTATTTTAGAGAGGAACTATATAACAACTTTCATGTTGTTTACACAAGACTTTATTTAATTTTTTGGTACAAACCTTATAATTTTGGGAAGACTGGTCAGAATTTCCAAATTGCATGCACTTAGACAAAATACTGCATAATGGGATGCACATGGTGAGCAAAAGAAAAAATGTAGGACATTAGAATAAAGCAGGATCACTTTAACAACAGAACTAAAATATTCAAGTGCTGTTCTAGAGGGGTAATCAATAGAATTAACTCATTAGTTTACTGTCGATTATTTTGGGGGGGGGTTATTATTCAGTTTGGGTTGTTTATGAAAGTAAATATGTGTCTAAAAAATCAAATGGATGATCTTCCAAGCATCTGAAACTATTCTCAAATAATTTCTACTGTTCTTTTTTCTTTGCTTTGTGGTGATGAACTGAGCTTATTCAATGCTAGGCAGCAGACATTATATCTGCTTTCATTGTGCTTTAAAAGAATTTTCATTCTGCCACTTTCTCAATATTTATAAAGACATCCCACCATCCTTTCCCTGTTTTACCTTGCAAAATATAGTAAAAGCTCCTAGGTCACACTATAGCATTACAGAATCACAGAATCCCAAGGGTTGTAAGGGACCTCAGAAGATCTGTCTTGATAGTGAGACAGATCTTGACAAAAAAGATTGTATAGTGCTATCAGGCTCAGATATACTCAGTCTCTTTCATGTTACTCCTGATAATTACACTGTCGGGGATAGGGGTGGGTGTATTAAGGGTTTAGGTA